TAATACAAAGGAAAAACTACATTTTATGGGTGAATAGGCCGAAGAAGCCATCAGTCACTCAGGAATATTTCTAGTATAGGCATATTTTTTCAAGATCTTGTCGCTTAATTAAGGTATTTTTGTACCTATGTTGACCAGTCAGACTGTTATTAATTTTATAGGAACTTGTACTTAAAGCCTACATTAGGATATCTAAGTAGGATATCTATTTAGATAGGCATATTTAGACACATGTGTGAAGTTCGCGTTTTATTGCATACCAGATTAGGTAACGAAGACAAAGAAATATTAAAATTCATGCAAATTGCGTCCAACTAATTGATGAATGAGATCGTTTTATGTTTGTTGTATTTATTCATATTTTTGTCATTTTTTTAATACACATCATCGTTATGATAGTAGATATGACTGTAGCTTTTTAGATTGTTGATGTGTCGTGGTGGCCCGGAGGTTGAAGACGAGGGTGCGGGTTCGAAGCCTACCAACGGCAAGTATCAATGTGAGTTTTGTTTTCCGAGTTATGTGTACTTTCTAAGATTATTTAGACACCGGCGAAGGAAAATATCGTGAGGAAACCTGGGCTTATAATTTCTAATTATAAGTTTAAAATTGCCAACTCAAATTGAGCAAGCGTGGTGATAAATGCTCTAACCTTCTCCGTGCGAGAAGAGGCTTTGCTCAGCAGTGGGTATTTATAAGCTGTTGATGACGACTATTCCCGTAGCAATGGGTCTCGCCTCACCCAAAGCGGGAGAAGTCGTTGGACGATATTCCCATTTTTAAAATGGTTCACTAGGTTAAGATATGAAGGTTTTGATATGAACATTTATTTATATTTATTTATTTATATTTAAGAACACCTTAAACTATCATTACAGGGCATCATGTACCCTAATGCGACAGCTAAGAACCAAACCAAATATACAATACAAACCAACACCAACTAAACCACAATAATAATATATAAAATCAAAAATAGGAAAAAGCTATACATTATTCACCAACATAATTAAAAATTACATGTCATTATTGAAATTATCAAATCTAATAAAAATAAAAATACATAATATTATTTTACTTATAACACAATATAAATAGTAATACCCTCGCGAATTCAACAAAACAACATGTTAACACATCAATCTGTGTCTGAAGGTCGTTAATGGTACGGATAGCTCTGGTAAGAGGTGCCTTAGCGAGTAAGTTAGTCTCATTAGTAACATCTCTGGTTCAACGCTCGTGAAGGGCAAAAAGTGCTAATAGATATATACAGCAGTTACAGGAGTCCAAGCTGCTCCGTGGACTCCACAAATTCTGTAGTTTGTAACTCATTTACCATAGAGAACAGAGCACTTTAGATCAGATCAGTTTATAGTTAAGACTGGAGTCTCTTTGTATGCTGTGGAAGTATGGAGATTAGATAGATGGCAGTCCCTTCTCGTAAAATACTGACATTTAGCGAAATTTGTTAACATTCAAGGCTGATCCTAAAGCTAAATAGCCATATCTAGTTAGTAAAAGACTGTAAGAGAGAAAGAATATGGTAGGTATACATATAACAGCCATTTATGTAATAAATCATTCCACTGGAGAAACTAATTTATCGAAAAGTCGCTTAGTTTTGGCCCAATCCGATTTGAGTTGAATAAGCATTGGATATTTCAGACTCATTATTTTTTTTTGTCAATGAAGTCTAAATAAGTTCAGAACGTACTTCTAACTTGAAAATGACCAAATTGATACTTCCGTACGGAAATGTAAGTATTTCGTAAGTAAGTTTTAGTAAGTATTTCGGGAACACTTCTGACACACTAATCCAACACCACACCATGCAATTTTTTTTATGGCATAAGCCGGTAAACGAGCTGGCGGATCACCTGATGGTAAGCAATCGGCGTCGCCCATGGGCATCTGCAACACCAAGACTTACAACTTATAGATAACTAAAAAAGAAAAATAAAATCTCTTTATCTACAACTTACCGATTAACTTCGAAATTATGGAAAATTTGAATTATTTCAGATACCTGTAACCCTTTTTTCAATAACATTTTAAGGAGTAGATAATGTAGTTAACTTCAGAAACAAGTTTTTCAGGCAATTATTTTGATAAAGGATTTCTTTATGCTTTGTCATTTCTTTATGAAAGAAGTCATGGAAAATAGTCAGTTACCTACCTTTACTATATTTTTCATAGGTAATGTTTCTTCAATGAAACGGAAACGGAAGTTTCCGATAAAAACATCGCAAGCATCAACTGAATTACTCTTTAGTGCATTAATAAAAGATAAAACATGTTTCCACTCGTGAAATGACGGAAAATAAACAATTCGTAACACATTCCAATACTTACGTATCAGGTAAAAATCCGAGCAAAAATTGCTATCCGATACAAAATATTTACATTTATCAGGAAATGATATAAGATTAGGTAATTATCAGCAAAACAACTAAAATATAGGAAATGTAAATCAAGAAATATTCAAGGTTGCTCTTATCGATTAGTTTACACATTTTCGTTCACATCCTGTATCAGGAAGTAAGGAGTAACGAACCTTGTCGACATGCGCATGCGTCTGCTGTTTACCCTATGACAGGTCTTGGCGACATCTTTATAAAAACGCGCGCCTCGCGAATTTACTTCACACAACTATCGCTGTTTCCTGAACGCCTAGTCCTTTAACTTAGAATTAAAGTTTTATTTTAATTAAATAAATTAAATATTATTTAGTATTTTCTTACTAAGGCGATTCAAATAAAAATAGTAAAGAGATAGTAATAAAAAAAACAAAATGAATACTTTCCTTTACTTTTTTGTAATTTTAATTAGTAGTATAAACGCTTTGCCTGCAGGGGAGGGTTATTATAATTTCTTTAATTATTTGTACGATGATTTTGGAGAGAACAGCATCGATGGGGTTGAAACTATTGATATATCGAGCTTGGGACCTGAGGCATACGGACTACCGAAAAACGAGAGTGGTAAGTAAATGCTAAATATATTTTTATAATTTATACTCAACGCTAATTAAAGCTTTCTTTTATTTAAAAAAAGTATGATTACAAAGAGAAAAATATTTGGCTTAATAATTTAGAATAATAAATATAATATATAAGAATCCTATCACATACAACTTATGCAATACAGGAAAAATACGACGGATGTTTAATTAAAACAAATAAAGGGCATTAAACATATAACAATTTTCTTCTGGGCTTTCCCTTACCCGTAGTTCATACTGAAAAATACATATATAATACTAAGTCTTCTTGAAATAACTTTATTAATAAGAATTTAAATTAAATACCTCTAAATATATACAACTTAAATATTTCAATAACTAAAAAGAGATAATTAATTTAAAAGAATTTAATTTCTTAATAACATTTTTTTTTTATTTCAAATAAATAAACTTTATTGTCAGTTATTGTTAATCTGTTTTATATGGAGCCAGGGGAGGATTTACTGTAAATACATTTACATTACAAATATTATAAGACATCTACGATTTTACTACCTACTTGGTGAAGTTGGATGTCGTTGTTACCTTGTGGTAACATCGTTAAAATGTTAACATTAACTTGAGTACAAATTCAAGTTAACGTTAACATTTTTGTTATATATATTTTAGTAAAAAACAGATAATTGTTTGTTGACAGACTGTATGATTTTATGGTCCTTAAGGTTATTTTGTTTTCGGAGATCTTTGACTGGATTTTTTACTTGCATTGTTCTCACACAATTGAACTAACATGACTATGTAACTGAGAATTGTATTCAGAACCCGATTGGAAAAGAGTACTATGGAGTTTCTTGCTCGTTCTTCTCTATTGGAATCTACACCTTGGAATGAGCAAATAAATCACTTCAAATTTTTTCTTGACGTTCACAAGTGCCTTCTTGGTATAATTTAAATAAATGATTTTCACTTTGACTTGACTTTGACTATCACGAAATTTTTTTATCTTTATTTTACTTATTTATAGTAACTTTATTGCACTTTTCCTTGCATTGCTTTATTACTGATAAAAAAGATATACATATGTGTAAACTCAAAATTAGATATTTATTGATAAATCTTATTTACGTATCTATATGTACCTAAAGATGATGTTAAACTATGTACCTCTAAATGATGTATTTATTACAGAAAATATTTTATTACAAAAACAATTACTAGCTAGGCACTGCTTTATCGTATTTAATGAATTTCAAAATAACAAACAAACTTATTTACTTTTCAAAATTCAGAACAAGAAGCCGTCTCACAGCTTTTCTTACAACAAAGTATTGAGTGGTCTTGATAATTGCACAAAATGAGGAAAATACAAAATAATGCATGTAGATCGATGCATAACGAGATGCATCGCTTGTCATGTTCATACGAAAAACATGACAGCTACGTGTCAACCTCATCTATACATATAATAAAATTGTAGAAAAGTGCTGTCTGTACATTGAAAATAAAAATAAAAAAAATAGCAGGGGCTATTGTTATGTCGATGTCGAACCCAAAAATGTAACTAACTTTTTTTTTGTCTGTTTGTCTGTTTGTCTGTTCACGCTAATCTCAGAAACGGCTTATCCGAGTTGGATGCGGTTTTCACGAATATATTGTGGTATGCTTCAGTTATGCTTTAGTGTTTGTTTCATGTCAATCGGTTCATAAATAAAAAAGTTACGTCAAATTAAAGAATCACGTCGAACACTATCTATCTATCTATCTATCTATACATATAATAAAATTGTAGAAAAGTGCTGTCTGTACATTGAAAATAAAAATAAAAAAAATAGCAGGGGCTATTGTTATGTCGATGTCGAACCCAAAAATGTAACTAACTTTTTTTTTGTCTGTTTGTCTGTTTGTCTGTTCACGCTAATCTCAGAAACGGCTTATCCGAGTTGGATGCGGTTTTCACGAATATATTGTGGTATGCTTCAGTTATGCTTTAGTGTTTGTTTCATGTCAATCGGTTCATAAATAAAAAAGTTACGTCAAATTAAAGAATCACGTCGAACTCTATCTATCTATCTATCTATACATATAATAAAATTGTAGAAAAGTGCTGTCTGTACATTGAAAATAAAAATAAAAAAAATAGCAGGGGCTATTGTTATGTCGATGTCGAACCCAAAAATGTAACTAACTTTTTTTTTGTCTGTTTGTCTGTTTGTCTGTTCACGCTAATCTCAGAAATGGCTTATAAATATATATATATTTAACAGGGTGCGGAAAAGGTGATAGTGGTTTTATTCCTCAGATTCCTCTCATTCCAAAAAATTTTCCGTTTAATTTTAAACGAATTCAGTTTCCAGTGAGCCTATGTTTCGCCATGACAATTAATAAAGCTCAAGGTCAGACTCTAAAAGTTGTGGGTATAGATCTAAGTATCAGCTGTTTTTCGCACGGTCAATTGTATGTGGCTCTGTCCCGTGTTAGCAATCCCAGCAGCCTGTATGCTTTCACCCCCGATGGCCATACGTCTAATATTGTATATAGAGAAGCATTACAGTAAAGTAGGTTTTTTAGCTACCCAAAATGACTGTGATTATGATCCAAATCTAAAATAAAAATAAGTATATATTTAAAAAAAAAACGCTGCCCATAGTCACTATTCTACGCGAACGAAGTTGCGGGCACAGCTAGTCCGATAATAAAATAACGAAAAGTTACCAGGCTGACAGAACACTTCCTTGCATTCATGATATCCTAATCGACTAATAGTGTTTATGTGCAACTTAACTGCGTTGCACAACTTTTTAGCTGTTACGGGGTCGAATTGAATAGTTTTAGGATATGTTAATATTATCTTATCACTAAGTACTTTAACGCTACTAAAGTTGATTGTTTTTATGTATCCGACGAAGACATTTTGAGTATCAAGGAATACGGCTATTTTATGGGTTTATCAATCAACTTCATTGGAGTAGGTTCTCATTCCAAGTTTCAAGTGTGGGAGAGCCATGCTTCTGCACGAATGGGCCGGCTGGAGTGATAACACGGCCTCACGGAAAACCGACTTGAAGCAACGCTTGCGTTGTGTTTCGTCGTGTGAGTGAGGTTACCGGAGGCCCAATTATCCTCCTTCGTAGTCCCCGTCTCCCAAATCCCCGAATCCTCCACAATCGTCAAATTCCCAATCCCCAAAAGGCCGGTAACGCACTTGTAACGCCTCTGGTGTTCCAGGTGTCCATGGGCGGCGCCGATTGCTTACCATCAGGTGATCCGTCTGCCCGTTTACCGGCTAATGCTATAAAAAAAATTCCGACACCGTATAAGTCATTGAGTAGGTATTATTAAGCTCCGAGATACTTACATGAAGTTCTAAGTAGCTTCCGTGAAGTCAGTAGGTTCTTAGTATTTAAACTCGTAAATTTACTTAGGAGATACGACTTATCGATGTATCTGTTAGATAGATAGGGACCTACTGGCCACACATAAGAATATTGTTAACGTTCCAACCACAAAACATAAAAACAATATTAAAAAAGAGTATCCAATCTTTTACCTTCTAATTTCAGGTGATGCATTATCCCAGTGGTCTGAATCATCTCTCATGAACCCTGAGGAAGTTGGAGACTATGCAGAGGGAGACATCCTGATGCCTCCACAGCAAGGCAGGAACGGTATCAGGGAAGAAGTGTTACGCTGGCCCCAGGGACATATTCCTTATGTTATTGAAGGATATTTCAGTATGTATTACGGAATAATAGTCAAGCATTCGATAATGTAGCTTCTGATAGATGTTGTACGAACGATATATGTTGATCTAAATATTACTAGTAACCTTTTATCCCCGAAGGGGTAGGCAGAGGTGCACGTTACGGCACTTAACCCATCGTGTGTCTAAACATGGATCCACGAGAGACACAATGTATTTTGTATTGTGTGTCATATACAGGCATTCAAGCAGTTAATACCACTGTACAATTTAACACCCACTTTTCACTATTTATGTTTTCAGTCCCATGTAATAGGGGGTGAGACACATTTCCATACACCGTGCTACTACTGAGATTTCAAAAAGAAACCAATACTTTGCTCGACCTGAGAATCGAACCCGAGACCCCAGCAGTCGCAATTGTGACCACTTGGCCAACGAGGCGTCTGAAGATTAAATTTGTAAATAAATGTAACATAAATGTAACATTTTTTAATTATAGGCCAATTATAGGTTATATGGGAAAACGGGAGTCACAGAGTCACCGTTGATATTTTGTGTTATCAATAAGAGCTTCGAAAACATTTATATCGCCTTTGCTTATTTTTTTGAGGGGGGAAAATCAAATAACTTCTCCCGCCTGGGTGAGGCGGGAGGGAGTGTCAGACTCTTACTGACTAAAAACCACCTCGTTCCTATTCCTGCACTTCGTGCTGGAGCCCCGGCAACCTGTTAAGTCTTCCGCGGTATTTATATCGCCCTGTAATTAGAACTCAAGATCCTATGCTTGACAGTTACGCTGGTCACGACTCGATTCACGATACAAACAACAAAATTGTAGTCCAGACTCAATTTAGATTGGACTTTTCTAAAAGCCACGCACAAAAAATGTGTACCTTTGTGTTTCCACAGACTCTGAGCAGCGTGAAACTATAATGAGGGCGATAGCCGACTACCATAGACTAACGTGCTTACGGTTTGTACCCTACAATGGACAGAAGGACTACATCACTATTCAGAGCAAAAATACTGGATGCTGGTCTAGTGTTGGACGCATTGGTGAGCTTTTGTTATACTAGTATCTAACGAACTACATTTTTACTAAATTATAAGTACATGATATGGGGTAAAAAGAGTAGTACTTATACATACTAGATGTCATCCTTTAATCAGTGTTATGAAGCTAATGTTATGGGGGTCCATCTGTACTATACACCGGCCACGACTCCAGAGTTTGAGCTACTACTATCAATTTTCGGTAACCCATAAAAATTTTGCAACAACTGCTTTTTTCTTAAATTGTGGGAGTGCTATCACTCAAGTGTGGAAGAGCCATGCTTCGGCACGAAGAGGATTTATAGAAAATCTACGTGAAACAACGGTTGCTTTGTGTTTCGTCGTGTGAGTGAGGTCGCCGAAGGCCCAATTATCCCACTTTCCAATTACGCCAATTCCCAAATCCTCAAATTCTTAAACTGTCAAACACCGCGAGGACACCGGTGACCGCAACCTATTTATTGTTCTTTAAACTGTCAAACACCAAGCGGTCACCGGTGACCGCAACCTATTGTTCTATAATTGTGTCTACAAAACCGGTACTCGACGAGTTAATTATGTCTATAATAACGGTACTCAAAGGTTAATCCCCAAAAGGGCGGATACGCATTTGTAACAACTTTGGCGTTTCGGGTGTGCACGGTCTGTGCCGAGTGCTTACCATCAGGTGATCTGTCTGCTTGTATGTCATAAAAAGTATATAACAATAAGGTTTACTATTTAAGTCCACCTGTGACATGTCTCTTAAATAAGTCCTTAACTAAAGTAATTTCTCATAGGTGGTCGTCAAGAAGTCAACCTCCAGTCTCCTGGATGTGTCTCCAAGAAAGGCACAGTGCTGCACGAACTGCTGCATGCTATTGGGTTCATGCATGAACAGAGCCGACCTGAGCGTGATGACTTCGTTAGAGTGCGATACAATAACATCAAACCTGGTAAGGATATACATGGAATATGTTATAGTGGCGTCTATCATAAAACTAATAGTGCTGTTGGTGATAAGAATTTGTCTATCACAATTGGGATGATGACAGGGCATGAAAAATAAAAATATAATTAGTCTGTAAGTAAGGTAATAAAAAATATTTGACACGTATTTTTTTATTTTGTCTAGATAAAACGAATCAAAGCTTAGGAGTGGGGGCTAAACGTCATTTCTACGTATAAAATGTACATAGAATTGACGTCACGCTACATTTCAAATCAATATATCATCGAAATTTTCGTTTCTGTAGGAAAGTAAAAAATACGTGTGTAATGATTTAAAATAATCTGCCAGACGGACATTAAAATAAAAATCAGGCATCTACCCTATTCAATCGATGCTTCGAAGGCCAAACATTTCTAAACCTATTCCTAGCCTACGCTTTATATGTTATAGAAGATAACTTAATGGTCTCTTTTTCAAGGTGCTGAGAGCAACTTCAAGAAGTCGACAGTCAAGCAAACAAATGATTTCAACGTGCCTTATGACTACAACAGTGTGATGCATTACTCCGAGTTTGCCTTCTCCAAGAACCAACAGAAGACCATTGAACCCAAGGTACAATGCTCTAGACATCGCAGTGATTTCTTTCGGTGTAGATTCTAAAATGTTTTTAACATGCTGTCCCGGAAAACTTCGTACAGTTTAAAAAAAATCTCAGGTTTAGCTTCCCTGGACTTCCAAGAACATTTCAAGAGAAAAATTAGCCAAATCCGTTCAGCCGTTCTCGAGTCTTAGCGAGACTAACGAAGGGAAATACATTTTTATATATTTTGAAGGACCTTACAGTGTACATACCTAAAAAACAACCAACACTTTATTTTATTATAACTGCTATTTCCAGGTTGGAGGTGTAAAACTGGGACAGCGTGAGGGTCTTAGCCGTGGAGACGTCAAGAAAATAAACAACATGTATAACTGCAAGAAAGAGTAAGGTTCCTCTCAAATACAAATACCAACTAGTTTGTTACACAGTCAGCCAGGGTCCTACTTCATTAAGACACCATGGTCGTACGGCCATAGAGAGATCCCAGAAAAAACGCTGAGGTTGATTTGGTCGCTAATAATCGCCACCAACTTGAGTTCAGGTGAAATGCCCTCGATACAACTGTATTGTGCAAAAATTTGATTGTTTGTGCGATCTAGTTGGATGATCATGATGCCCTAGTGAAGTAGGGCTCTAATAAAAAACAGTTTAAATTAATACTACGTCTGTTATTCCCCAGGTATATGCCGTGGTCACCAAACCAACCCTATACACCAAACCGACCCTATACGCCAAACAGACCCTATAGACCATACAGACCCTATAGACCAAACAGACCGTACCATAGCTTCTACGTTCCACCTGTTATGTCATTTTTCCCATGTAGGTAACAGGGAACTAACTCATGCCACTCATGAACAACTGAGATGGTTGCTACATTTAAAAATTTCTTGCATGATCTGCAACGCACTTCTGATGTCCTGGTACTACAGGCGTATTTAGGCTACGGTGACTTGTCCCTAACACTACTGAGAATTTTAACCGGAAAATCTGGGCATCATACCATTGGGTTCGGACTACGAATAACTTTACTAACTTGGCAGTCTAATGACTTATTCTAAAATACTTGAGTTATTCTATCATATAATATTCATCAGCTGCTGAATAAAATGCCTCTCATTCAAGAGGTTCGCCATAATTCTATGCTTGCCAGGCGGCTTAAGGATCGCCGACCATCGATACAACATGCTACTACCCATCCTTTGGTGGTTGATTGCAGTTTATAAAATGTATATTAATACTTATATTTAAATTTTCAGGGAGCCCCAGTCTGGTTGGCTAGGAGGAGTGTTCCAGAACATATTTGGAGCAAAAACACGTTAATTTATGATTGTTTAAATGTTATGATTTAATTTATAAATAGCACTTCAATAACTGTATTGAATTCACAAAGATCTGATAGATGTAAGTTTTCTAGTCTTTACGTTTGTATCAAATAAAGCGTTGTAATAATTTATTTTATGGTTTTATTCATATCTTATCTTATATCTTATACTATCACTAGCTTTTACCCGCGGCTTCGCTCGCGTCACAAAAGGATAAAAGCCAATGTGACATATACCAATACACACAGCGACATCTATACCAATACTTTTGTTTTCCCTCGGGAATATCAAATTTTTTCGGGATAAAAAGTACCCTATTATTTAATCCAGACTACTAACTTTACGTCTGCAAAAATTCAATGTAATCGGTTTAGTAGTTATGGCGTGAAGTCGGAACAAACAAACAAACAAACAAACTCACTTTCCCATTTATAATTCTTCTTATATATATATATTCCCATATAAGGAGGAAGGATAGTAAGGATGGGTTAATAGACCTGACGGCTAACAATATAGCCGATCTGCGAATACTGCAAAGTATGCTTCTCGTATGGGATTATCTGAAGAATCCCATCCTGGGACCTGGCGGTGAAAGTACTATTGCCATGTTGCAGAACGAAGCCGCGGAAAGGGGATCACAATTTGCAAACCAAAATTCACAAGTGTGGGTACCATCGCTTCTAACTATACGTCTGCAAAAATTCAAAGCAATCGGTTTAGTAGTAATGGCGTGAAAGCGGAACAAACAAACAAACTCACTTTCCGATTTATAATATTAGTAAGGATATAAGCGGAAGAGTTTGTTTTTTGTTTGTTTGTTTGAACGCGCTAATCACCGTAACTACAAGTCCGATTTGAATAATTATTTTTGTGTCGGAGAGCGTATTTATTGAGGATGGCTATAAGCTATAAAACATCACGCTACAACCAATAGGAGCTGAGCAAAGCGTGTGAAACCGCGCGAAGTAGCTAGTGTTTTTCTAAATCTGAATATTTCATTTCCATTGGAGAAAACACACTTTATGCTTTTTTTTTGTTTTTCTCTTTGTAATTAAAGAATAAATTTTAATGTTAAATGGTAGGAACCATAATTTAAAAGCGAAAACCACAGCGTTACCAAGTTTTGATAAGGGCCAGCGCACTCTATCGCTAAATAGCGTAAGTAACTACTACATAAATACCAATTAGTATTTCGTTGAGTTATAAAACAGCAAATAAATGAATCAAAAGGTGCACCGAATAATTACCTTTAACAGCCTATAATCTATAAAATACACAATTTAATCTTAAATGGTTAAAACCAACATTTAAAACCGAAAAATATTTAAAAAACACAGCCGTACCAAATTTATAAAAGAGCTAGCGCCATCTGTCGCTGATTAGCGAAACTACTGCATACGTACCAGTTAGTATTTCGTTGAATTATAAAACAGCAAATAAATGAGTCAAAAGGTGCACCGAATAATTACCTTTAACAGCCTATAGTCTATAAAATACACAATTCAATCTTAAATGGTTGGAACCAAAATTTAAAAGCCAAAAATACTTAATAAAAGCACATCTTAACCAAGTTTTTAAAAGGGCCAGCGCCATCTTTTGCTAAGTAGCTTAACTACTACATAGACATCAAATAGTATTTCGTTGAGTTATAAAACAGCAAATAAATGAGTCGAAAAGTGCACCGAATAAGTACCTTTAACAACCTATAATCTATAAAATACACAATTTAATCTTAAATGGTAGGAACCATAATTTAAAAGCGAAAAATACTTAAAAAAACACAGCCGTACTAAATTTATAAAAGGGCCAGCGCCATCTATCGCTGAGTAGCGTAACTACTGCATACGTACCAGTTAGTATTTCGTTGAATTATAAAACAGCAAATAAATGAGTCAAAAGGTGCACCGAATAATTACCTTTAACAGCCTATAGTCTATAAAATACACAATTCAATCTTAAATGGTTGGAACCAAAATTTAAAAGCCAAAAATACTTAATAAAAGCACATCTTAACCAAGTTTTTAAAAGGGCCAGCGCCATCTTTTGCTAAGTAGCTTAACTACTACATAGACATCAAATAGTATTTCGTTGAGTTATAAAACAGCAAATAAATGAGTCGAAAAGTGCACCGAATAAGTACCTTTAACAACCTATAATCTATAAAATACACAATTTAATCTTAAATGGTAGGAACCATAATTTAAAAGCGAAAAATACTTAAAAAAACACAGCCGTACTAAATTTATAAAAGGGCCAGCGCCATCTATCGCTGAGTAGCGTAACTACTGCATACGTACCAGTTAGTATTTCGTTGAATTATAAAACAGCAAATAAATGAGTCAAAAGGTGCACCGAATAATTACCTTTAACAGCCTATAGTCTATAAAATACACAATTCAATCTTAAATGGTTGGAACCAAAATTTAAAAGCCAAAAATACTTAATAAAAGCACATCTTAACCAAGTTTTTAAAAGGGCCAGCGCCATCTTTTGCTAAGTAGCTTAACTACTACATAGACATCAAATAGTATTTCGTTGAGTTATAAAACAGCAAATAAATGAGTCGAAAAGTGCACCGAATAAGTACCTTTAACAACCTATAATCTATAAAATACACAATTTAATCTTAAATGGTAGGAACCATAATTTAAAAGCGAAAAATACTTAAAAAAACACAGCCGTACTAAATTTATAAAAGGGCCAGCGCCATCTATCGCTGAGTAGCGTAACTACTGCATACGTACCAGTTAGTATTTCGTTGAATTATAAAACAGCAAATAAATGAGTCAAAAGGTGCACCGAATAATTACCTTTAACAGCCTATAGTCTATAAAATACACAATTCAATCTTAAATGGTTGGAACCAAAATTTAAAAGCCAAAAATACTTAATAAAAGCACATCTTAACCAAGTTTTTAAAAGGGCCAGCGCCATCTTTTGCTAAGTAGCTTAACTACTACATAGACATCAAATAGTATTTCGTTGAGTTATAAAACAGCAAATAAATGAGTCGAAAAGTGCACCGAATAAGTACCTTTAACAACCTATAATCTATAAAATACACAATTTAATCTTAAATGGTAGGAACCATAATTTAAAAGCGAAAAATACTTAAAAAAACACAGCCGTACTAAATTTATAAAAGGGCCAGCGCCATCTATCGCTGAGTAGCGTAACTACTGCATACGTACCAGTTAGTATTTCGTTGAATTATAAAACAGCAAATAAATGAGTCAAAAGGTGCACCGAATAATTACCTTTAACAGCCTATAGTCTATAAAATACACAATTCAATCTTAAATGGTTGGAACCAAAATTTAAAAGCCAAAAATACTTAATAAAAGCACATCTTAACCAAGTTTTTAAAAGGGCCAGCGCCATCTTTTGCTAAGTAGCTTAACTACTACATAGACATCAAATAGTATTTCGTTGAGTTATAAAACAGCAAATAAATGAGTCGAAAAGTGCACCGAATAAGTACCTTTAACAACCTATAATCTATAAAATACACAATTTAATCTTAAATGGTAGGAACCATAATTTAAAAGCGAAAAATACTTAAAAAAACACAGCCGTACTAAATTTATAAAAGGGCCAGCGCCATCTATCGCTGAGTAGCGTAACTACTGCATACGTACCAGTTAGTATTTCGTTGAATTATAAAACAGCAAATAAATGAGTCAAAAGGTGCACCGAATAAGTACCTTTAACAGCCTATAATCTATAAAATACACAGTTTAATCTTAAATGATAGGAACCAAAATTTAAAAGCCAAAAATACTTAAAAAAACACAGCCGTACTAAATTTATAAAAGGGCTAGCGCCATCTATCGCTGAGTAGCGTAACTACTGCATACGTACCAATTAGTATTTCGTTGAGTTATAAAACAGCAAATAAATGAGTCGAAAGGTGCACCGAATAAGTACCTTTAACAGCCTATAATCTATAAAATACACAATTTAATCTTAAATGGTAGGAACCAAAATTTAAAAGCCAAAAATACTTAAAAAAACACAGCCGTACTAAATTTATAAAAGGGCCAGCGCCATCTATCGCTGAGTAGCGTAACTACTGCATACGTACCAGTTAGTATTTCGTTGAATTATAAAACAGCAAATAAATGAGTCAAAAGGTGCACCGAATAAGTACCTTTAACAGCCTATAATCTATAAAATACACAGTTTAATCTTAAATGATAGGAACCAAAATTTAAAAGCCAAAAATACTTAAAAAAACACAGCCGTACTAAATTTATAAAAGGGCTAGCGCCATCTATCGCTGAGTAGCGTAACTACTGCATACGTACCAATTAGTATTTCGTTGAGTTATAAAACAGCAAATAAATAAGTCGAAAGGTGCACCGAATAAGTACCTTTAACAGCCTATAATCTATAAAATACACAGTTTAATCTTAAATGGTTGGAACCAAAATTTAAAAGCGAAAACTACTTAAAAAAAACACAGCGGTACCAAGTTTTTACAAGGGCCAGCGCCATCTATCGCTGAGTAGCGTAACTACTGCATACGTACCAGTTAGTATTTCGTTGAATTATAAAACAGCAAATAAATGAGTCAAAAGGTGCACCGAATAATTACCTTTAACAGCCTATAGTCTATAAAATACACAATTTAATCTTAAATGGTTGGAACCAAAATTTAAAAGCCAAAAATACTTAATAAAAGCACATCTTAACCAAGTTTTTAAAAGGGCCAGCGCCATCTTTTGCTAAGTAGCGTAACTACTACATAGACATCAAATAGTATTTCGTTGAGTTATAAAACAGCAAATAAATAAGTCGAAAAGTGCACCGAATAAGTACCTTTAACAACCTATAATTTATAAAATACACAATTTAATCTTAAATGGTAGGAACCATAATTTAAAAGCGAAAAATACTTAAAAAACCAACGTTACCAAGTTTTTAAAAGGGGCCAGCGCCATCTATCGCTGAGTAGCGTAACTACTGCATACGTACCAGTTAGTATTTCGTTGAGTAATAAAACAGCAAATAAATGAGTGAAAAGGTGTACCGAATAGGTACCTTTAATAACGTACAATCTATAAAATACACAATTTAATCTCAAATGGTAGAAACCAAAATTTAAAAACGAGAAATACTTAAAAAAACA